GATGGAAATAGAAAACACTATCCTGAGTGAGGTAAGCCAGACCCAAAAAGAGGAACATGGGATGTACTCACTCATATTTGGTTTCTAGCCATAAATAAAGGACATTGAGCCTATAATTCGGGTTCTTAAAGTAGCTAAATAAGAAGGAGAACCCAAGGAAAAACATATGGTACCATACTTTCTATTTATTGAAAAAGTATACAAAGGTTGGAAAAGTTAAATAAAAAGTTAATTCACCAAGTGACAATGTTTAAATACATTTATTATTTTTCCTTTTACTTGATGAATCATCTGAAAGCAAGATGCACACAGGATGGTATGTGTACTCTAAGTGTACTACTGGCATGCATCTTTCTGGGAGGGTGTTCTGATATTATCAAATCACAATAATAAAAAGTTACATTAACAGTTTTGAGAATTTTAAACATGAATACTGCATTTACATTAATTCTACCCATTTTTCTCACCTTTATCTCTGATGTGACCCCAATGACTTTCAAATTATTGACTTTTTTAATTATTGTTTTGTCTCACAAACATATATATGCAGATATATTTATGCATATTTATTGGTAAAGGCATGTATGTATACATTAATGTATTCCACTGAGTTGACTTAGTATAGTTCATTTGCACATGACATTGGATAACCTAGCAGAGGGTCATCTTTGGAAAAGATGGAGTCACCCTCTCAACAATAATTAGCTAACCATAGCTTTTCAGCTAGGGTTGTGGTTTTAACCATCCTTTGTGGGAGAATTGTCTGTATTCTGTCAATCATGTTTTAAATAAACATTGATTGGCCAAGCAGGTAATATAGGCAGGAAAACCAGACAGGAAATAGAAATGATGTAATGAGAACAGGAAAATTCTGGGAAGGAGGAAGTTGATTCCTCCCACTCCTGTCCAGACCACCGAACCAGCAGGATGTGATCTGCTCCACTGAAAAAAGGTACTGAGCCACATGGCTAACATAGATCAGAAAAATGGGTTAATCAAGATGTGAGAGTTAGCCAGTGAGACTATAGAGCTAATGGGCCAATCAGCTTATAATTTATGGAGACCTATGTGTGATTTTCTTTGGAGCTAAACAGTTGTCGGGTACTGGTTGGGACAGAAACACAAACAAGCAGGTCTGTCCCTTCATGTTACAGAATGGCACCCACATGGATAACTGTGACCATTTAATACAGTTCTTCATGCTGTGGTGATCCCAATTATAAAAGTATCTCATTGCTACTACATAGCTACAATTTTGCTACTGTTTTGAATAGTCATGTAAATATCTGATACATGATCCCTAAAGGGGTTATGTATAGACACAAACAAACACAGTGAAAAATTAAAGTCAAGGTTGGAAATAAAATACATCTATATTGTTCATATATCAAAGAGTTTACAAGCAAATAAAGTAGACCTAGATATGTGGAATACAAATAAATGATGCAATTAAAATTTGCAGTGTTTTATTATATGTCTAGGACAAGAAATTATAAGAAATTTGGTTTTTGAAAAGTTGTAATTGCCATTATTAACTCCCAGATCTATAGCATTGCCCTGAGAGAATGTTACTATCTGAGGAATATTCTTCTGAAGGCATCTTTGTTGTAACTATATTCAGAATATAGGTGTATCATTGGGAAAATTTTCTTACCACATATTACTGCCAATTCTATTTGAAGCAGAAAGTAAGAACAGAGTTTAGATGCCACCCTGTTGTCATAGCAACAAATCTTTCTTCAAAACAGTCTTAGTCTTCTTCATTTCCATCTTCCTAAATGCCCTATTGCTGCCCACTATGTAGGTGCGTGTCTACAATCTCTCAGCTCAGAAGACTGGGGCAGAAGGATTGGGAACTCTCTAATACCCTGACCACAGTAAGTCAGGGTCACATAACCAGAACGTTCCTCAATGAAAGAAAGAAAACAAATGTGTTCTTACAAATTCTCTGCCCTTCTGGCTATCACTATCAAATATATATATATATATATATATATATATATATATATATACACTATCTGAGGTAATACTATGATTTAAGTCTTTGTAGACCAAAGGTAAAAATGTTAGGACAACAGAAAATCTGTGAGATTTTAGCCAGGTAGCCTCCGAAGACCAGCTTGGAATCCTAAACAACCATGCCGCTATCTTTACCTGCTTTCAGGATCTGCTTTGATTGTTCCAAGAACAGAGTTCTATTGAATCAATATTTTAGTTCATCTATAATGTCAATTTCAAGATGAAATATCACTGAAAACACCATACTATAACTTGTGACTATTTTGAAAGACCTTTGGTTCACAGATTTCTGAGTTTTTGTTTTGTTCGTTTCCCAGGGAATTTTGGTGTGTACGTGGATTGTTTCAGTTTGGCTATGAATAAACTCAAACCCTTTCAGAAAGCCTTGGATACAGTGTGCAAAAGGATATAGTCATGCAGTATTCACTTCACAGATGTATTTGGTCTCAGATATTGTACATTTAAAGCCAGCTATGGTTGTGCACACGTATAGACCCAGATTTAGGGGCTTAATAGGGAAATCAGGAGCTCAATCCAGACTGTGCTATGTAAGTACAAAGCCAG